CAGGGGGGTTGGATGATCTTTAAAGGTCCCTTCCAACCCAAACCATTCTATGCTTCTATATGATAAAATGTACTGACTTCAAACAAATTCCAATTTTCATGCTACACTGGGACAGAGAAGCTATTTGTTGTATACAGTAGACCAAGAGCTGAAGCTTCTCCATCCCTTTTCACAAAGAGTAGCTGACAGAAGCAGAAGCTGTATGTAGACATGCTCCAAGGATGCACATTCACCGCCAGGGAAGGACTCTTAAGACTGCCCCAATCCCTGACCACTGAAACCACCCAAGCTTCTGCTACTGGGAAAATCCAAGACTTTCCACAGATAAGAAAGTCTACAGGACAGGATATTCTGCTAAATATTTATGCACTTTCTGTTCATGCCAGTGCTTCAGTTCTTCCTATCCTTGTCACAAACCCTTTTGGATGCGTGGATAAATCTTGTCACACTGGCGGTGAAACTGGAGAGGCTCAGTTTTCCATTGCCTTCAAAGATTTGATTACCATAAACTTCTAGGGATCAAACATAACGTATTTTTGTAATGCGGGATCACGACACTGCAGTAAGTATTAGCTAGTTTCATTATCCAAGAAATAAATCTAATCTATCCAGATGCCGCAAGACTAGAAATAGCCGTAAGAAACGTCTGCCTTCAGCCGCTGGCTGGGTGCCAGCCTGCATATGGTTGTTACAGATCTCTGCTAAAATACGCTTCCTTTTGTTGTATTATGTTACAGCCCTGAATAGTTAATGAACATACACACGGCCTATGGATATAGGGGCTTTAACAAATGCTTCTGCTAAAATAAGCTCTTTAAAACCTCTTACGTTTACTCAATGTTAGTATGTGCACTGTATAAAAATAGCCATGGTCGGCCAGTCTGTCGCTCATCTCTTTTGAGGGACAGGATTTCAAATAAAAGAAGGATAAAGGAAAGAACTTTTACTGTATTTCACAATATAATAATCTGTTAGTTTTCAAGAAAAGTGTTAACAAGTCTAAGGAAAAGAGACGTATTTAAGGAGACACAAGACCCGTGCTCCTCACTTCCCGACCCACCATTCAGAAAGGAAGAGGAAATAAATGTGCCCCCAAACAGGGCTACCCAGACCTCACTACAGTACAGTGAGCAAAACTCATTTTCAGGCTAGCTTGAAGCGAGGAACACAAAGAGCTGCTGCTCCACAGAAATGTCAAATTTGCTGGTTTTCAAGATCTTGGTAAGTGTCTCTTACCATGGCCTCATGCTGGTCCTTAAAATGGAGCAACTCTCCCACAGCAAAGTTACAAGAGAACTTGTACTGGGTTTGATTATGTTTAGATTAGTTTTAACCAACTCATCTATTTTTGATAAAGGAAAATGGTTAGTTAATGGTATGCTCAAAGGCACCTTCCCCCTCTCCCCCCTGCTCTCCTTTTAAACTTCCAGTTAAAAATCTATTTGGACAATCAGTGAGGAAAGGATTAAAGAGGAGGGAGTCATTCTTCAATTTTTATTTTTTTTAAGATGATCCACAGCTCTTTTGTCAGGTAAGAAATATTTTTACACACAGCTTAAAAGGAAGGTATTCCCTTTCCTAACTACAACCATAGACATAAAATTAAGTGGTAGGAACTCCAGATGTCCCAACACAGTCACCTTAACATCAGATCACTCAAAAAAAAAAAAAAAAAAAGACTAACTTAGACCTTCTCTCAAAACACCACCACCACATGCTACTGCTTGGTATCTACTGCAGATGACAAAACGCCCAGTACATCAGAAGCTACTGTAGTCCACAACTTAGTAAATAGCATCTGTTTTCCCATACCAAGACATCAACAAGGAGAACACCAAAATTTTCTAAACTTCTTAGGATACCAAATCTTAATTAAATGTACTTAAATGAAATTAAAAGCTAGATTTTAGAGAGCATCTATTTCCTTCTTATCAATGTTAAACATTAATTTCTTATCAGTGTTAATTAAACATTAATTAAAAACATTAACAGAAAACTTCATTTAGAAATTGAAATGCAATATTAATAAAGTGAATCCTTCGAGTGTAGTAAGCAACTATTCCTAGATTAAAACATCTGACATCCTTTCTCACTTGACACAGCACAGCTCAATTCAACTCTCTTGAAGCAGACTTTTTAGACATTTCCGACTGAAAAGATGAAAAGATGCAAATGAATATTTGCTTCAGCTGCTTGTTTGGATAGTCACATTTCTATTTATTACATCACAGACCATGAATATACATATTATTTTATAGATTTTTGTAAGCTTATGAGGAAAGAAACCACAAAATTTGTTCTGTTAACTTGCTTAAAGACCAGAACATTTCATAAAATAATTTAGCTTCAGCATGTTGCTTCATTCTAAGCTGGCTAACAACATAAGCACTTTGAAGATAAGTGAAATAATTCCTCAAGGGAGGGTTAAAAAACAAAACAAACAAGAAAAACTACACAAAAAATCAAAACCTTAGCACTGCAACAGAGAAATTCTTCCAACCTTTACACTGGTGGAAACAAAGAATAAAGAATAAAAATTAGACATATTAAAAAAGTCATGACAAAAACTGTAAGAAGTCAAGCCAATTTAAATGATCAATGATCATTACCTAGAAGTCTGCAGTCAGAAATCCAATTTAGACCAAAAGTTAACCGTTGGGGTTTAGCTTTTTCATTTAACGTACATAACAACAACTGAAGAACAGCATAAACCAATATAAACAGCAGCTTCCTAGAACTGCTAACTTTATGAAAAATTCTGTTGAACGCATGAAAATTTCTCAAATATGTTCCCACTGAAGGTCCTACTCAATTATACGTACCCCCTCACATAGTAAGGAAATGAGATTAAAGACTCAGCAATTTTTATTTCTATTTCTCTTCTGGCAGCATATCTATTGTCTACCACATGCCATTGTTTTATTTATTGACCACCAGGTTGCTACTCTCCA